TTCGAAGATCAGCGAGCCTGCTAGTGTGTGATTCGCGCGAGCTAGGTAGCTTCAAAGTTCAATCTATGCTAGCGTGTGCGAAGTTCAATCTGTGATAGTGTGTGATTCACATTTAACAAGTAAAAAAATCCAGATATAAAAATAGATGAAAATAAAATAAAAAGGGTTGATGAACAGCACCAGAAAAAAGGTGTTTCCAGTGAACACCATTATGCACTGCTACCAGAGGTATTACAATACATGTGTTGGGGTAGTAAGGGTGTCACAGAGAAGATTGAAACCGAGGCGGTGAAGAAAATGCCATCGCCCTACGATCTAAGTGCTAGAGATAATTCCGGAAACATGATTACAAAAGTGTAATTAAAAGGAGAAAATGTAATTAAATAGAAAATATAAGCATATTTACATCGGTTCTTACTAAAACCGGTGTAAAAATGAAGTATTCTACTTCGGGTTTCCTTTTAACTGATGTAGAATAGATGAGCAATTTGTTATCTCCTTTTCGCACGCTAGCATAGTACCTTTAGCGCCTTTGAAGAGTTTCAAACACGCTCTTCTCCACTTGGAAGCATAGTACCTTTAGTGTGAATCACACACTATCACAGATTGAACTTCGCACACGCTAGCATAGATTGAACTTTGAAGCTACCTAGCTCGCGCGAATCACACACTAGCAGGCTCGCTGATCTTCGAAGCTGATGTTTCCATACACTAATAGGCTCGTTGAAGAAGCCCTCTTCGACGACCATTTTAGGTAAACATTGAAACCCTTGTAATTGCGTATTTTAATTTTGTCTGTTATTTCTTGTTGCGTCTCTGATGTTGTACAAATGAGAGTTGATGGTTTAGGGTTTGGAGACGCTCCCCGGAGGAGCTTTCCCGAAACGTAGTGGTCTTGTCGTGTAAGTCCGTTGCTGAAGGTATTTCTTTGAGGTATGATTCAACTCTGTTTGGCTTCAAAAATCTGAAATTGTGAAGGAGTCCTTTCTTTTCGATTTGATAGTTGTCATTGGTATTATGTATACAACTCTATTTGCTTGTGGGAATAGAATATAAGCAAGGAATTAATGCAGTCATGTTTGTGATTTGGCATTATTAATGAGAATTTGTTCTCACAAATTTAGATACTGAGATTAGATTTTGAATTTAATTGGTTTAAATTCCGTTTGAGTAGGAATTAAGTGCACCGATTTTATTGAAGATATTTACCAATCTTGACCCTAGAGTATTTCAATATCCATCCTTGACAATAATTAAATGAAAGCAAGCCTAGGATCTATACTAGCAGTCATTGCAGGGACAGTTGAAGAAGCTGATATTGTGTCCTAAAGGCAAGTACATTCACAAAGATAATAAAATCAATGTTCAATGATATGTAAATTAGAAGTCTCATTTATTCAAACTCAGGTTGTTACCTTTTGATGGACTCCTTCCACCAAGGGGATGATCAAAACATTCAATGGTGAAGATGAGCTCCTTGCCAAGGCCAAGATGGTGACCTTAGAGGGTGGACGTTCCTTCAAGGGTGAGGCTAAGTGATGGTGGCTGTGAAGGGTGGAGTCTTGGGCAAATAGGAGAAAGGTTGGGAGGATGGTGTTTTTGGGTGTTCTAGTTGGCTCTCTTCATCAAGTGGGGATGAAGGCCACTCAAGGGAACCCTAAACTCACTCTAGGGAGGAGATAGGAGAGGTAGGCCGTGTAGACCTAGTGACAGGAGAGGATTGGAGGCTGTAGACCCCTAAAATTGTCCGGGTCGGAAATAAGACTCGAAGACTCTCGAAGACCAAAGGAAAGTCAGCCGAAAGGACTC